GGTTGCCAGTGGTAACCATCATATTCTATGCAAGAGAGTGTATGCTATGTAAAAAATATTGCGCCTACCTACCTTTAATAAATCTGGTTACTCCAATCGGGTTGTGTACATAAAATACGTTTATTCCCATTACAACTACAATTGATTTTCTTATGATACGTGCTATTATATAACTAAATAATATATTATTAGCTAGATCAATAAATGTTGCGTGTAATTTGAAAATAAATTCTATATGATAGTCTCATAATTTATTATACAGTATAAGTATTATTTATATTTGTTTTCTTATTTCATGTGTAATTTAGCATGACAAACGTTAATAATGATTATTTAAGGCAAAATATTATTCTTAATGTCGATGTTTTCAAGAATATTAATAATAATTTTAAATCTTTTAAAAGTTTCTAAATAATCAGATTAATTTAATATCTATTTTATTTTGTTTATCTAAATATGTAATAATACCTTAATTATCATTGCAACCAGTTCATTGTGAATTAATCTAGTTTATTAGGAGTCTTAAACAGGTAAATTTTATACTAGTAGTTGTTATCAAATTATGTATATTTTATAGCTTAATGTTTAGTACAAATTAGAGCCGATTAAATAAAGTGAAAATGACATTTGTTTTCATGGCTTTCAAAGTAAAATTATTGATAGTAAATGTCGTAATCCTTTTTAAATAGATAATAGGTAAGAAATTATGTGTTATATAAAAATAATGTAAAGTATAAATAGATGAGTTCATATTGTATATCTTGTTCACTATATTGTACTGTATGTTATAACTTGATAAATTTTAATTTTTAAAATGAAACTTTTAATATTACTGGTTATAACTTTTGCTATGTATATTATTGCATTGGGTACTATTATTTTAATGCTCACTTTATTTTTGAATAATTTTTATAAATTTTAATATTTTATGTGGGGCACCGGTAGGTCAGATATGCTCAGAGGGTGAGGTATGGGAAGATTGTGGTACAGCCTGTCCAATCACATGTGAAAGTAGACTACAAACCCAAAAGCCATGTCCTAAAACATGTAACCCTGGTTGCTTTTGCCAGGAACCACTGATCAGGCGTATGAGCACCGGTATGTGTGTGGTCACAAAAGATTGTTGAGTACTAAGCCATATTTTATTATGTTATTTAATTACTGATTTTAGATTGTTTAAAATTTATTTTTATATATTATGTGTTTATTACAATGTTTGTGTTAAAATCTAGTTTTAACATATTCTTTATTATAATTTATTATTTGTTATCTTGTTTTTTTTGTTGCCTAAATATAAATCTGTTTTCAAATTAAATGCTTATTTATAATTATAATAGCATTTTAATTATGTAGATTTATTATAATAAATGATAATTTATTACACAAAACACTGAAATCAATCTACCGCAAATTAATTAGTGATGTCATTATAACGTATTCACTTAAATGATAGCTACTATAGGTTAGTAAAATTAATTTTACTTGTTCTCTCCATAATCAACAAAAATTAACATTGAATTATATTTAAAATATTATATTTGTTCAACATACTTTATAGTTAATAGTCATATTTTCATTAGTATATTTATATTTACTAAATTATTGTGCATATTAAGCTAATTTTAAAATTTAATTGAATAATAATTATAAGATTATTAGTAATTCCGTGATTGATAAGAACATAGGCAATTAATTCCGGTTTATTATGGAAACTTTTTTTTATATAGAAGTAAAAGAAAATACACTATAACTGACATTGAAATGGTATAACCCGGGGGCTTTTTTAATTTACAAAATATCCACAGTTTTTTGTGCGATAAAATTCCTGATTAGTAATTAATATTATACCAAATTATAGTAAGAGTATTTATAGGTTAATTAGTTATATATTACAAATTTTATATTTATAACAAGTATTAATAAATTCCACATTATTATTTATTTGTGAGCTTCAATATCAAGTGTTAGTTATTATTTAAAACTATTTTATAAATATTCTAAATAATGTGTTAAATCTGATTCTTATATTTAATATGGAGGATGTAGTGTATTACAATACACAGAATTATATTTTCAAATGATACTTTCTAAACAAGTTTCATAACGTATAAACTACGAATAAAAAAGTTGACAATTTTTGTTTTAAGGCGAATGTCTTGAATCGAAAATAGCTTAAACTGAAAATCTGAAATAAACTTTCTAGAAAAATAAGTAAATATATTTTGATCGTTGTATAAATATATAAATAGGATTTCAATTCACTAATACAATGTTTTATCATAATGAATAGTCGAAGTGTCGCATGATTTAAAACGGTTTAAAACGGTGTTTAAACTTATTCACTAAAATTATTTTAATTAATAAAATGTTTTATAATAAAGTGAACAATACTTTTATTTTATTAATCATATTAATATATATGAGTGAGAGTGGGAACCACTTTTGGTTACCATATGCAACAGGTAGTGTAAACAATAGTGGTAGTGGCCTGGCTTATGGATTTGTAGCTAATGGATTGTTTACCATGTCTGAAAAGTGGCGATTTGTGGTAATATATTGTTATTTATAATAATTCTTAGTAATAATTTAGATTTAAAGTTTAATCAAATTAAAATATAGCCATATAAAATATTGATAATATATATAATACGAAATAATATAAATCATTTAATATACCATATATTTTAAAATATAATTTATATTTAAATAATGTAATATTTATTCCTGAAAGTTTTTATTTTTACAATACTAAAGGCAGCAATATTGACCGAGAACCAGGGACAGTTTTATCAGCAATGTGGTGGTTCCCTAGTGTCCGACATTCATGTGCTAACGGCAGCTCATTGTCTCATACAAAACGGAACCCAATTAGAGACCAAACAGATAATTATACGGTTGGGTCAGTACGACCTACGTTTGAAAGGACACGACTTCAAAGTTAACCAAATTTACATTTACCCTGATTATAATAATCAGACATTCGCTAATGATATCGCAGTACTCAGACTCGAGAAAGTGGTTTGTTAAAATTTGTATTTATTATTTTAATATTTTATGATGTATTAAAATAGATTGTATAAAAAATGATTGTATAAATCATAATTACAATTAACTCATATTATTACTCTATATCTGTTTTCATATGTTTAATAACGAAAAGGCAGTAAATTTATTTGTTAAAATACAATAATAACTTGGCTTTAAAAAATTCTAACTTTTACTAAATGTGATCAGGTTGATTTTCACCACCACATGGAACCCATACCAATGGCAATGTCAACTGAGAAACACCAGTTCGAGCGCTCGGATGTGACTAATAGCGAGATCGCGTCCATTGCCGGGTGGGGTCGTACGTCAGCTACCGGTGACCACAGCGACGACCTCCTGGAGGCACAGCTCCATATCGTTCCCCAAAGTGACTGTCAGTTGTCGTATAAAAAACACATTACCATTAATAAGAGCAGGTTGTGTGCGATCGCACCGTTAGACTCGTTGTCAGAAACCGGAGAGTCGATGGACGCCTGTAAGGGTGACTCCGGCGGACCACTCATACAGTATGACGAGTCCAGTGAACAATATTATTTGACCGGGGTGGTTAGTTTTGGTAAAAAGTGTGCCACGTATGGGGCGCCTGGAGTTTATTCCAGTGTCGAGTATTACTCCAAATGGATTACAGATATTATTGATGACAAAACACCAAATTCATAAATTATTTTGCAATATGTTTACAATTAGTTAACTGAGTTTATCTAATTGCTAAAACAATACAGTATTCAAATATAATTATTTAAAACATTGAAAAAATAATTTCATGTGTTACCAATAAAAGCGCTTTAATTAATAAAATAGTTTTTAAATAAAAAATTACAATCTTATTATAAGATTCTATAAAATTATTTTTGTGATCTACAAAAAGATTTTAAAACTTTAAATATATAAACATGCAACTATTATAGAAAATTATTTATCACAAAAATACAGAATATTCTGATTGTTAAATAGTTCAGTTATTTCTAATGACAATTCTTGAGGTCCTCCATTTTGACATTAGCGTGGAAGCACTCCTCACCCTTTTTGGAGGCATCTGGATTGGTCTTCATGAAGTCTTGGAATAGGGCCATAACATCGGTGAAACAGCCGTCGATGTCGTCCTTCTTGGCCGCCCTAATCGCCATCACCTTTTGGGTGATCTCAGGGAACAATTTTGTCGCACATTTAGCGTAATTCATGAGATCCTTACGCACGGCCTCATCCTTACACGTGCCTAAGGGGTGGTTATAATCGCGCGTTCAATATATTTTCATTTGTAATATCAATTTATTTATTATGGTTTTATGCATTTGTTAATTCAATTATAGGTTTATTTTAAATTTTAAATTTATTAATAATTTATTTAATGGTCTATAAATTAATTTATAACCTCCTTTTATAAATAAATTAATAAATTTATTTATTCCTTTATTTATCTATAAAGGATATTTATTTTCAACAATTTTAATTATGTCAATCAATAAAAAAGGTCAATTTAAATTTTGTAAAATATCTTAGCCTTTTAAAAAAGAATTAAAAATTTTAAATATAAATTTAATTTAGTAAAGTAATAAGTCTAATGTCAATAAATAATTTAACATTCTCAAGACTATTAGTTAATAAAATATATTGACATTAAGTTAATATAAAGGGACTATCAAAATATGTACGTCCATTAATATCCAAATGTTAACACATGTTTTTAGAGCATAATTTATTAAAGAATATAAAATAGTATAACATTACCAAGCCTATTAGATAAATAAACTCGTGTAACACTTACCACAAAATATCATTTTCATATTTTTGATGTCTTCTTCGGAATAGTTAGCCGACACATTTGAAATGAATAGAGTGCTCAGTGTTATGAGCAAACAGATCAACACAATCTTGTTCATATTTGTTTGATTTATTATAGGTTTAGTAAATAAAACTATAAATTTATTTTTGATTTATTGTCCAAAACAGTATCCACTATTTATAGTGAAATTTTGTGGACAATAATTATTTCTTGAAAGTTGTATTTATTTTTTCAAACTATATTATTATATAAATTGTAACTTTAATTATGTACTTAATAATGTGTTAAATTGCTTATTGTTTATATTTTTTAAAGGAATTACTCAATCCATTAATGTATTACTTTTAGTGTATGTGCACTCAATTTAATATATACAAGGTATTTTATAAAATATAAATTTTGATTTTAAGAAGATTAAAAAGATTTTTCCAATAAAGTGTTTAAGTATTTATTAATTTTTATTTATTTATTTGTTTTAAATTTATTTTTTATTTAAACATTATAAATGGTTTAATAATTTGTTTTATATCTTTACCCTGCTCATATTATCTATAAATAAAATACCAAATTGTACTTGTATTCTTCCGGGCAAACACTAAACTCAATAATTATTATCCATTTATTTAATGATATTTTAATGATATTAGATTTTAAATAATTATAGACTTTTCTTATTCAAATTATTTAATTTATAAATTGGAACTTTAATTATGTACTTAATATTGTGTTAAATTGCTTATTGTTTGTTATGTTTTTAAGGAATTACTCAATCCATTAATGTATTTCTTTTAGTGTATGTGCACTCAATTTAGTATATACAAGGTATTTTATAAAATATAAATTTTGATTTTAAGAAGATTAAATAGATTTTTCCAATAAAGTGTTTAAGTATTTATTAATTTTTATTTATTTATTTGTTTAAAATTTATTTTTTATTTAAAGATTATAAATGGTTTAATAATTTGTTTTATATCTTTACCCTGCTCATATTATCTATAAATAAAATACCAAATTGTATTTGTATTCTTCCGGGCAAACACTAAACTCAATAATTATTAGCCATTTATTTAATGATATTTTAATGATATTAGATTTTAAATAATTATAGACTTTTCTTATTCAAATTATTTAATTTTAAGGGTACTAATTATATAACAAATGCATATTAAAGTAATGTCTAAAAGTAATAATATTTATAACAATAGCTAAGTTAATAAGCATTTGTTTTTGGGAAAACTTTCAAGGTGGATCATAAGATTATATTATGATTTTTTAAAAATATTATTATTTAATTTTACAAATAACGATATAGTTAAAAATTAGTATGAATTATATTTTGACATAAAAATATACTAAACATTTCTTATTTATTATTATAATATATTATGATAATTAATTTAATTTCAATTTTTAATATTTTAATTTTAGTCATTTAAAAACCCACTGACTTCTCTACCAACAGTACCTACAAACCTACAAAGTGAGACAGTTCTTTTTATATAAAATTATTATTAAATTTTTAATTTTTATTAATTTTTTTACAAAGTTATTTATAATTGTTAAATTATTAAAGTGGTATTAAATAAATAAATTATTGACTTAATTTGATACAACAAATTTTATTGATAGTTTCGTTTTAGTTTATGTTTTATATTGTTTTGTAATTTGTTTCGTTTTTCAAATTTTTTATAACTTTTAACAAAATTTATAATATAATTATACAGTATGATAGGTTATATAATAATTAAATATAATTTGTTATTTAATTGCAAATATATAAATCAACTTAATTAATAAATGTAAATTGAAAACTACTGTATTATAATAAAATGTTTGAATCAATAACAATATAATTGTCACTGGCACTTAGTGAGGTGTTGGGTCACCACATTAGCCCGGAAACAGTCCATTACTTGGATGACACGCGTTGGGTCAGCCCTGGTGTAGGTCTCGATCTCTGCCTGGATTTGAGCGACACATTCATCCCGATTATCAATAGTTGTCTCTCTTATGGCCATTATGTTAGACAACTCTTTGGGATAGTGACCCATAACGCAGTCTAGGAATTTGGAAATGTCTGCCTTCACACCATCGTCCTTACATGTACCTGGGTGCATATCAATTTTATATATTTTATGCTAGGTTAATTGAATATTATTTAAATATGGTTTTATAACTTCAAATTCAGTTTACAAAATCTGGATGCATTTACAAATAAGGCACTTTTCAATTAATTTTTAAAATATCCATTTAGTTTTATTCTTAACTTAAATAAAATATTAAATATCATTTGGTTCATAATAATAACACTTTTTGATAAATAAAATAATTAAACAAACTTATAATCTACTAACTGTTACGTACTTAATATTTTATATAACTTATATATACTGTATATATTATATACTTATATACTTAGTATTATATATCAAACAATTAAAAATTAAATTGATAATTCATAATTATAAATTAAAATTATTTATATTTTATATGATCTATTGATATCAAATATCTCTATTTAATTTACCGCAATAAATGATCATGGCATTTTCTTTGGCCTCATCATTAAAAACTTCCATTGAATTAATAAATGTGACAGCTAGTGCCAGATACAATATTGTTAATATTTTAATCATTTCTTGTTCATTTGCAAAAATAATATGTTTTATATAAACAAAATGTCTATTTAGTTAAAAATAATTTATGGTCTGCTCTATAATTAGAAACTCAATGAGAAAATGATTTTATAAACAATAGGGGTATAATTAATAATAGATTTTGTGCCATTGTGATTGATGATTTAAATAATTTATCTATTTTGAAAAGTATTATTTAATTTTAAAATGTAATTTAAAAATAATTATACCAAGATAGACCTATTACAATATGCATTATGATATAATATTTGTTTTGCTAATTGGTTATGATAAACGACTTTCCCCATTCAGTTAACACTTCATTAGTTTTGTATAAAAGCTGGTTTTGAAAAGAAATATAATTATTCTGGTAATTACTTACATAACAAATAATGATTTAAATGCATTTAATTTGTCCTTGAGCAATATACATTAATAAGAAGTGATCATCAATTAGTATCATTATTATTTAAGACTATGTATCATATATGATATTGATAATTAATTCTTATAATTAAAGATATATTATATTATTTAACTAATTGTGGTCTAACCAAAAATAGATAATTTTAATAACTATGTATTTATGAAATCTTTTGTAAATGTTGTTTATTAATAAATAGTGTATTAATTTAATTAAAATCGTGTTTAGTTTTAAAAGAATTTAATTTTAATATAATTTAAGTTAAAACTTTTTATGCAATTTAGATATAATCCATTAAGCCAAATAAATAAATATGCTCTGGTATTATTTAACATTTAGCCAGGTCCTCTTTTTTGACATTGTCGTGGAAACATTTCATGATTTTGGTCATGCCATCAGGATTAGCCTTATTAAATGCGTCAAATTCATCCTTGATCAATTTCATACATTTATCCTGGTCACTTGAATTAGCTTGTTTAATACTAATGATTTTGTCCACCTCGTCCTTATAATCATTTCGAGCACATTGGGCAAAGTTGACCAGTTCCTTTTGAACTTTCTCGTCCTTGCATTTACCTGTTCAATTACATTTCAAATTTTAATCTTAATAGAAATTTTAATTAAATTAATTCTATGTGATAATGTTTATTAATACTAGCATATTTAATTTTAAAATATAATATCTAATATTATAATTAATATTATAATTAAAAGTGTAATAAAAATGTAATTTGTATTATAGATTCTGAATAGGTTAATTTATAGATTACTATTTATACTTAACAAAAGTTTGCACACTATGAGAATATAACCACATTTTTATATTTGTATTCAAGTTGAAAGATTTATATCAAACTCAGTTTTCAAACAGTTTTAAAGAGTCTAATATTAATTATATTTAGCTTTTTTCAACAATTTGAAAATATCTCATAAATTAATTTTGTTCATATTATTTATTAACAAATTAAATATATATATAATGTATACTACCGCAAAACACCAATTTAGCTTGCTTCATGTCCTCGGGTGTGAGATTATGCGCCGACACTAATCCAATTGCCAATACCATTGAAATTACGATCACGAGTTTAGACATGTTTTCTATAATTAAATTTTACATTATATTTTATATTTTAAAATTGACAGTGTATTACCGTTAGTTAAACTATTATATCTTACACAACTAGTAAATTCTGTTAAAGTGTATTATAATTAAAAATTTGGAAATATATCAGTTTATATATGATTCAGAAAA